GCAGCTCTTCCTTCTGCTTTTCTTGGGGGATGCTTTGGTTTCCAAGACTGGGTGTGGGCCGGCCGAGACCACAGTGGCGGCATGGCTGTGTCAAGTCCCCTGGCAGACAGCGCTTCCTCATTAGCTCCTGCCAGACCTCAGAGCCAGCCCTGGGACAAGTACGTCAGCTGCACCCCACAGAGTCAATCCCTGCTGGGCCCCGCGGGGAGCCTGGCTCACAGGCCTTGCTACCCATACTTGCTTCCTGCTCGGTCCACCTCTTCTCACCTCTGCGCCAGGGGAGGCAGGGCCTGTCCCCCAGCGAGGCGAATCTCCCACCAGGAGACTGAGCGGGGTGCGGACCTTGCTAAGTCACTCGGTGCCCAGTGCCCCAGCTGCTCTTTTGGCAGGGTGAGAGGGCTGAGTCCTGCCACCCTGGCTGGAGCCTTCAGCCAGGCCACCTCCTGAGCCTCCTGCTTGTTTTTCAATGGGGGCGGGGCCCACAGGAGCCTTTATTCCTGCCTCACTCACCAGGCCTCTCGCTGAGCTCTCGCCTTCATCCCCCTGCTAGGAGCCAACCATGGCAGCTCCTTTCAAATCCCTAAAAGGAAGCAAAGCCGGGATCCCTCCTTCCTCAGGCCCTTTGTTGAGGTGCCTGCTCCCAGGCCTTTGATCTCCCCACGCCATTGTGACCCCTGCAACACCAAGGCATGAGGGCTCCCCCTCCAGCCTGCACCTGAAAGCCACAGCCTGCCTCCTTGTCAGGCAGAAAAGTCAGTGTCCCGCTGCAAAGCACTGGGGAGAGGCCCCCCCCACATAACGGAGGGAGGGGTGTGGGATGCCAGGGCTATAATATGGGACAAATTCAGCAGGCTTTTTGCTCCAGAGGGGGAAACTGTGGGCTGGAACACCTGGGACGGTGCTTTTATACTTGGGAAACTTGAAAGGTAGCATTATTGAGAGATAAGTTAGGTAGAAATATTCTAGGCAGTCAGACAGGGCTGGGCCCTCACGGGAGTGAAGACAGAAGGTGAAAACCCATTACAGCTGTGACTGGAAATGCATCAGTTGGAGGCCAGGCCTCAAGATAAGAAAAGGACCAGGCCTCCTACATACACCCCAGGGGGTGAGATGAGTGATAGCACCTGGTCTACACAGGTATCAGCCACCCCAGTGGGCAACCAAGCCCCACATCCCTCACCTACCTGAGAAGTTGTTTGATCTTTCCACCACCCAATCAGTACACGACCTGCTTCCCCATTGGATCAATATTATCTAGGCGGCTATACTTATAATCTTATTGGTTGATCATAGCTATAACCCACATTGTGCCCACATGGGTTTGGCTCTGTACAATTTCCCTGTAGAGTGGGGTCCCCCACCTATCCATTAGGGACCCCTCCTATTCCTCTGACAGGAGGTTTCTATCTCTCAATAAACATTTCTCACTCTTAACCTCCGTGGTTCCTAGAAGTCATTCTTTCATTTTTAGAAAAACACGAACCCAGCATATCAGACATCTAACAGGTTGAGAGATAATATTTTTCTTATATCATATTTGGAGGTTCTGATATCATCCCCGGAGCAGTAGGACATGGGCTTGGCCTCTGACAGATCTGGTTTTTTGGCTTTTTTTAAAACCTCACTGTTCTCCTTCTCGCCCCTACACTCCCACTGCTCTAGAAAAGTGTGGCTTTGTGGGGGACGACGCACTCATCCACAACCCATTCTCCATCCAGGACCTGGGACCATGCCTTTGTCTCTGAAGCAAGACGCACCTGTCCAGGGAGGGAGATCTGCAGAGAGACCCTCCCAGGGTCACACCCCTCTGCCCCCCATGTTGGACCCCCGAGGCTGAGGCATCAGCACACTGCATGAGGAAGAAATGAGTATGCACCCTGAGGGTAGCCAGCTCATGCAGAGTGCCAGGCAGTGTGGTATAAGAGAGGCCTCCGAGAAGATGACCCCAGCTGCCCTTGACCCAGCCAGCCCCCTACTTCAGTCCCAGGGATGCCGCAGCCAAGCCCTGCCACGGGTCAAGGAATTTCTTGCTCCCGATATGACTCTAGTTTTTTTTGCAGCCAGGGTCCTAACAGTCCCGGCCCTGGGTGGGATATCTGTTCGTATTCCACCCCACCATAAGGAGGGGCAGACTGAGCCGAGAGAGGCGTCCCTACCCACTCTGGGAAGGGGTGTGCGCAGTCAGGAAGGCCCCTTCAGCTCTTCTGCTTGCCAGAGGTTTGGGCTGAAAGATCTGACTGAGGATTCCTCTGGGACTAAAGGGTGGAAGGAAAGAACCCCTCTCCACCTGTCCTTTTAATGAAGTCACATTCTAAATGCCAGTGGGATGAGGTGGGGTGACAGTGGAGTGGGGAGGGCGCAGCCGATGGAGCCCAAACAGCTTGGACCTAGGAAATCCTGACTCCAACAGCCGGGGGACCTTCATCCCCACCCCGGCCTCTCTTGCAATGCAGTGCCTTTGCTGCGAGGCTACCCAGCCTGCCCAGCGTGGTGCCCAGGATGCCACCTGTGGCCACGGCTTCCCTTGGCCCAGCCACTCTGCAGCTCTAACGCTCTTTCAGTTCCTCAGGCACTCCACCGTCTGTTCACTCACTGGCTGCTAAGTCCTCCCAAGTCCGTTCCCTTTGCCTGGGACGTTCTCCCCTCCTCTCCTTGAGTTTCCTCCGCTAACTCCTATTCATGCTCAGGCGCCCACTACAGACCTCACTTCCTGGAGTGGGCCTGTCCTGCTGTGGTCTCCCTGGCCCCTGAACTTCCCCTCAGAATGTTTGTACACTGATGAGTCACTGTCTTATTTGCAATTCCTCACGGGCCGTGTGCCCTGGAGCACAGGGATGCCTCCAGTTTCACTCACTGGTCTAGCTGCAGTGCCTCCCAGGGCCCTGGGTGGGGTAGGCTCTCAACACGCATTTGCCAAAATAATAATACACTGAACACTGAGCAAGAGAAGATAGTGTCCTTCCTTTCTGTCCCTCCTGAGACAACCCTCCAAAGGCCTTGGTATAAGAATAAGGGCTCAGGCCTTTGCCTCGTAATTCCACAGAAATGTATAATTATTATTTTACTTGGGCAGTCAGAGGTGTCCCCTCTTAGAATGAGTCTTCAATGAACAAATTCCCAAATCTACTCTTGTTCCCTGTGTGGGACACCAGACCAGGACATCTGGAGATAGGGAGGACTGTGCAGCTGACAGCAACCTGCTTAAAGCAGGACACAGACCCAAGGGGTGTCCTGCCCTGCTTCTACCCCAGAGAACAAAGGTTAACCGCCGGGGACAACTTTACCCCTTGTCATCTGGAGATGGCTGTGGGGTCTACACCAACAAGCTTTACTATACTTTCTCTGCGGGTTGTTTGTCTTCCCACAAGTCGCTGCCACTAACTAAAGGCTCAAAATCATTTTCCTTTGTCTTGTCACCTCTCTAAAGCTACATATCTGAGAATTCCTTGTTCCCTTGGTGTCTCCCAAGCCTGTGTGAATTGAATATCCAGGTTCATAAGCTCCCATTTATCTTTCTCTTGTTAATGTGCTACAGGGCCTGTTCCAACTAAGAATTTATGAGGGTTGAAGAATAATTGTTTTTCCTCTCCTACACTGTCATTAGGCCACAGTGGTGGAGTCCCTGCCATGGCCCAGCTATCCTGGCATCTCCCTGGGTCTCCAGTGTCCCCGAAACTCAGGGAGCTGAGGCAGCAGCAGGAAGGAGGGCTCTAGGGAGAGCCCCAACATGGCGCCCACCTCAGACCCGGGGAGGCCAGGACGCTGTTTTCTTCAGCATTGTTTCAATCCTGGCTCCTTCTAGCTCCTGGGTGGAGTGAGTGAGTGAAATGAGAGAGGGTGGGCAGAGAACTTGGCAGGCAGCGGGCTGGGACCAGCACCCTCCAATCTGTGGCAGCTGCGGGTAAGCTGGTGTCTCCAGAGAAACACAACCATGGCCAGGAACGCTGCCAGTGAGAGGCCCTGCCTTTGTCTGCAGGCAAGAGGCCCAGGAAGGGCAGGAGCCTCTCTCTCTGGCTTTGAAGCTCAGCCACAAGTCCATTCTAGTGAGAAGAGGGGCGCTGTGCTCCAAGTTCAGTTCACTGTTTGCTGTTTGGCAGGCGTCTGTGAGTGCTGGCTGCCTGGGCCTTGGGGTACATTTGCTGCCATCCACCTAGCGAATATTTTTGAAGTGGCTACTCCCTGGCAGGCAGCATTCCAGCTGCTGAAGGCACAGCACTGGACAAGAAGACCCTGCATTTTTAAAGACTTACATTTAGATGGGCCCTGAAGAATACCTTTAGAATAAGCCTTATCACATAGTGTTTCTACCAAGGCTGAGATTTCACTGAAAGCAAATTTGTATTACATTATATTACATTATCTAGCTACCTCTAGTAGGACCATCTATACTGTGTTTTCACTGAGAGAACAAACAACTGTTGATTCATCTCTAGATTCTCCAAGGGACCTAGGACAGAGCTTGAGGCTGACGTAGCTTCGTGGTACCAAAAGTACCCCAATAGGATCTGTCCCCAAATCTAGGAACTCTTTCACTGCGATGGAGGCTCTGGAAGTCTCTATGGAAGTAGAGGGGGTGGGGGACAGCGTTTCGAGAACACCTGGCTAAGCATAAGCACAAGACAAACTGGCCTCACATCTGGAGCTGCTTTCAAAGGCAAATCTATCAAGGGCAGTTTTCCGCAGTTGGAGGCTGAGGGAGGGTGGAATACAGCTCAGTGTGTGGTATCAGATAGAAAAAAATTAATGTCTCGGGCACAGGAAAAAGATCAAAACCACTGATCAGAGATATGGATCAGACAGGCGTCACCACAGAGGCGGGTGTTAGTCCCTGGGAGGAACCACTAAGCTCGAGTAGGGGGAAGGAAAGGGAGTGATCAACACGCACAGGTTAGCAGGGGCCCACACAGGAAGCCCAGCCCTCCGTGCACAATGGGTGCTCAGCATGTGGGATCGGGTACCTTTATTCCGAAGTCTCCTGACAACTCAGCAGTGCCCCTTACCCAGTGTGTGTGTGGAGCCCGAGAAGCCACGGTCCCCGCCGATGCCCAGGAAAGGAGAAACCACCTGCTTCACCAGCTCCTCCAGCTGCAGGTAGCCCTCACTGGGGCCCGTGGGCTCGTGAACGCTCTGGAAGTGAACATCAGACAGATAGAGGTCAGCGAAGACTGCTGCGGCCAGCAGGCACCTGTCAGTGCATCCCACATCCTCCTCTGGGCAGGGAGGGCACCCCCACACACAGGTCAGAGCAAAGCAGACTGAGCCCCGAAGCCCTCGTCACTTGTCACGCATCACGGTGATTAGAACACTGTATGGGGAGGGCATGGCGGCCTCTCCCATTGGGCTCTACCACGGAGTTTGCGGGGCACAGTCCCAGCTCCGGCTCTGGGTGGGATGTGACCCAAGGCTAATTACCGCCCCAGCACAGGCGGTAAACATGTCCCATGAATTCATGCTCAGAGGCCTCCCAATGACCAGGATGAGGAGTGCTTTCATTCTCCCTTTCTATGGATGGGAAATAAAGACACAGAGAGCTAAAATAACTCGTCCAGCAAAATGCAGCCAGTAAATGACAAAAGCCTTGAGCTGGAACCTAAGCTACCTGGCTCCCAGCCCATCTTCCTGCCGCTTCTTAACAGACGAGAAGAGAGGAAAAGAATATGGAAGAGTTCAGAACAGTCGAAGAGCGAGAGCGTGTTCTAGAAATAGGCCCACTGGTAGCAAGAGCAGAAGCTCAGCTTGACGGGAATCCTCAGGACTCAGCCCCCAGTAAACGCCTCCCAGAGCGCATGCGCTCAGCCACAGAAACCAAAAAGCAGTGACCCGATGTTTTCTAGGCAACCGGCAGGCTCCTTGGGAATTCAGTCTCCCCACTGGAAAGGCATTGAAAGCTTGGTCTCCTGCGGAGGGGCTGCAAGGAAGCAGAGACCACCGGCAAGGGACAGGGGCCTGGGCAGGGAAGAAACGGGGCTGGGTGGGGCTGTGCTCAGCTCATCACGTCAAATTCCCAAAATAGATTGCGCAGTGCTTTCACTTAAGTAAAAATGCTCCGCTGCATTGAAGTGTTTCAGAGCTGGAGGAGGGAGGAGATGAGACGGTCAAGCAATGAACCGGAAGGGGCAACTCCTGCGGGGTCAGGAGCCCTGGGCGATGGAGCTTCCAGAGACACAGGCCTTCCCTGCCCTTCTCACTGCATCTTCCGGAGGTGGGTGTGTTGGGGTGGCCGGGGGCTCAGGAGGCCGAAGGAAACAGGGAGGCTGAGGAAGCACCAACAGTGGGGCGCAGAGGAGTTGGAGGCGGGAACTGGGAAGGGCCGGGGGGAAAACAGAGGCAGAGAAAATGAGTGGGCCTGAGACCCTGGGGAGAGCGCGCGTGTGGCCTCAGGCTGCCTGGGCCAGTTCTCCAACCCATAGCTGCTCCCACTCACTCACTCCGAGCAGAAGCGTCAGAAGTTAGCAGGGCAAAAGCAAAGGGAAAGCAAGTGAGCTGCTCTGCTCAGGACGCACACACCGTGGGCCCCACAGGAAGGGCGTCCTCCAGGCAGCAGGCAAAGGGGAGCCTATTCGTGCTCCCCAGCAACCACTCCAGGCCTCAGCAGCAGGGCAGGTTCAGCCACATACGACCTGGCCTGGCTCTCCAAGCCCAGGAAATTGGGTTTGTTTGTTTTGTTTTGTTTTTGTTTTTGTCTCCTGGATGATTCCAATCTGGGTTCTCCCCTAAGGTTCCCCACACCTTAATTCATAAGTGCAGGGAGAGATGACAGAAAAACGACAGCACTCGGGAGGCTGAGGCAGGAGGATCGTTGGGAGTTTGAGACCAGCCTGGGCTACAAAGTGAGCTCAAGGCCAGCTTGAACTGCACAAGGAGACCCTGTTTCAAAAAGACAAAAAAAAAAAAAAAAAAAGCACTCAAAGGTGAAAGGAGGGGCTGGGGATTTAGCTCAGTGGGAAAAAGCACCTGCCTGGCAAGCACAAGGTCGTGAGTTCGGTTCCCGGTACCGGAAAAAAAAAAAAAGGTGAAAGGAAAACATATGATGAACACGATTTGCATGGAGGCTTCTCCTAGGAACGGGGCAGCCGCACCGCACACGGCCCTCCCTGGACACCGGACTGGCTCTGCAAGTATCACGGCTCAGTGCAAAATGACGATGCAGGACCCCCGCAGCGTTCAAATATCAGAAAGAACATGGATTTGATGATAGAAAACTGTGAAATCAGGCACAGTCGCATACCCTGCCTGGTTGGCGGGGACCCTCATGGCTCCAGATCCCCTGAACAACCTAAGGACAGAAGCACTCTGCCCACAGGAGGAGATGGCCCTCAGATATTCTGGGAGGAAGGAGTTGCTTCGGAAAGATTTTGGAAGAGCGGTGGAAAAGGGAGAGCTGAAGGCTGAGGAAGGGCTCTCTTCTCTTTACTAGGTCTACGTCATTTGGAGGAAACAGCCTCCGCTGTCCCAATGCAGTGGCAAGGAAGGGCCTGGGGAGAGGAGGGACTGTCCTAAGAACAGGGGCCACACTTCCTGCAGCAGGAATGGGCCCAGGCCAGAGCCATCTAGAAGATCACCCTGATCCACAGGCTGCCCCTGCGCCCGAGAACATGGACCTAGGCTGGGGAAAGACCTGCATCTGTTGCTGTTACGCGCACAGAGCTTCATAGCTCCCAAGTAGGAAAAAGCACAGTCGAGAGGACTATTCCTGGGAAGCCCGGAGAGAAGATGCCAGCGCCCCATCTGAGCACATATGTAATCCCACCACTCTGAGAGGCCGAGGCAGGAGGATCACACTTTTGACCCCAGCCTGAGCAACTTAGGAACTTAAGGAGATTCTGTCTCAAAATAAAAAAAATGACTGGGAATGGACCTCCGTGAGAAAGCCCTGGGTTCAATTCCCAGTACTAGGAAAAAAAGGGGGCGGGGGTCTTCACAAGGGTGGATGATCAGTACAGCTCTAGACAAATGCACTATGATCCTGAGGTAGTAAGATTCTCTGAACCTCCCTCTCTGCTTGAAATGGGAAAAACAATGGTACAGTCACTGGAGGGACTGGTTCCTTTCCCCCATTTCCAGAAATCTGCTATGACCATGGAGCTTCCCTGACTGCCCTTCTGTCTGCCAAGAAAGAAAGCCCAGCATGGGCATCAACCCTCATGGGACTGCAAGCCTAGGACCTGGGGTCAGTCCTACCCAGCCTCTCACTAGCCGGTGCCATCACTCACTGAGCAGTGTTTAATGAGGACCTACTGTGTGCCAAAGATGGGGCTGGATGCCCAGGAAAGTGTGAGAAGGAAGCACGAGGGTCTGCCTTGAGGAACGGAAACAGTGCTCTGAGCAGAGGGCACAGCGCACACCCAAGTCTGCTGCGACAGAGCAAGCATGGATGGCCCCAGGGAAGTCAGGTCCAGATGAGGCTGGAGACACAGTACGGCCCAAGGCCAGGGCACCGTCGGGGGCTGTGTCCCCACCTAAGGTCAGCCAGGAACTGCTGGAGAGTGTGCAGCTGCCTGATGGGGAGCAAGTGGGGTGGGGGCCAGGGCAGAGGGAAGGAGTCTCCCAAGCGGGCAGGAGAACCTGTCTTTTAGGGCTTTGGGCAGACAGTGAGAATTTCCTCATGGTGTTCTCAGGCTGTCCAGTGTGAGACCCAGAACCTAGGGATGCGTAGGTTTTTTCCTTGTAGGAACAGGTCCTCCCATCCCGGCATCCACAGATGAGAATCCTCACCTGCAGGAATACATCAGTTCTCCTTCCAAGACTCTAAAGGAATGCCCCCTTGTCCCCAGAATACCATACAGAAATTCAAGGGTGGGGCCCCAACTTCTCTAATCCCATGATCCTCAGGGCTTATCTTCTCCACTCTTTATCTGGGAGTCAAGCTCTGATTTAGACTTCTCAGATGCAACCTGCACATGCACGTTCCTATTTCTGGTCTTCCGTCTTCCCCTAGCATAAAGATGCTTGAACTGTCATTCCCATTCCAGCCGTTACACCCGCCCTCTTCCTGTTAGGCAGCTCTTCCTCTTCTGGAATTACAGGAAAAAAGACAAGTGCCCTGAACAATGGTCTGGCTTAGGGAATCAAAAGAGGACACCAGCTAAGGGAGGTGGGGCATTGGGGCGCTGTGCCTGACACTTCATTCCTGCCCTGAAAGATCACCATTAGCAGGATCAGGAATGAAGCCTGAGAAAGAAGTTCTGTTCATAGACACCCATGGGAATGGGCCAGCTGAGGCCATGTTTGTGCTACTTGTTTCTACTCAAGGTCATAACTGATTGGGCAAAGGGAAATCACCTAGCCCAAGGTGGACCAATCAGATTCTTTCCCTTCAGGAGGATACAAGGTATACAAAGCTCTGAATCTCACCATTTCTTAGTAAATAATCCCTAGTGGAAGAAAATGAAAAAGTAAATGTACAATAGATAATATGAAAAGGAAAGAAACTGCTCAAAGGAGGGAACAACCGGGATGAGGGAAAGAAGAAAAAGAAAGGAAACACTAAGGGTATATATATGTGTGTACATATATATACATATATATAGAAGGATATCTGGGATAACTGTACTGCTGATGTCTGGTGGTTTATTGAAAGGAACAGTTAATGCTTAAATTTTTTTTATATTTTGACCAATTTTGCATGCTTATATCTGATAATTTGAGCAATTGATATGAAGACAATAATATGCAATATAACAACCACTGGTGAATTCCTACCATCTTGTCTGGTGAAACTCTGTATTGTCTGTAATGTTTTTTTAAATTATTATTTTTGTATTCTCTTTAATGGTTTGATCAAACTTCCATTCTTGCATCTGGTAATCTGAGCAACTTCGTTGAAGATAACAATATGTGATATAACAACCACTGTTAATTCCTATCATTTGGTTTGAAACTCGATATCATTTTTGATGTTCTTGCTTTGCTTTGTTTGTATCTTGCTATTGTTCTTTTTTTTTTTTACTATTCTCTTTAAAATAAATAAATAAAATAAATAAATAAATAAGAGATTTCAGACAGGTTGGTAATGCCGTAAATTTTACTTTCTTCATCTGTAACATGGCACTAAAAACAATGCCAACCTCATAAATTGGTTTTTTGATTATTTAAGAAAACACCACAGGGGCTGGGGATTTAGCTCAGCAGCACAGCGCCTGCCTGGCAAGTGCAAGGTACTGGAAAACAAAACAAAACAAAACAAACGATAAAGAAAACACCACATTATAAGTCCTTGGTGTGTGCCTGGCAAATAGCCAGGGTCCAACACATGTTAGCTCATCTTCCTATGACTGATTAAGAATTGGAAGTAAGAGACGCTCACAGCTAGCAGGATGGTCTTTTTGGAAACACACATGCTGTAGCATGCCTTGGTTGACTAGCTGCAAAACAAAGCACTGGACACATTGTTCAGAAAAAAAAGACCAAGAACAAGAGATATTGAGCCACTGAAGAGGCTGCATCAGATATAAGTAGAGACCAGGAAGTACAGGCGCGTCAGTGGTACTGAGACCTTGCATGGTCTCGTTCTGTCCTAAAGCCCATCTACATTGGAAACCTTGTAATGAGCTCTGGGATCTTTGCTGCTCCTTGCAACCCATGACTCTCTCATGTAAGTGGAGAGGGGAGAACGGATGCCACTTCCTGGATGAAAAACATGCTTCCATCTCTCCCCACTGCAATCCCAACACCAGGGACCCACAAGGCACTCTGTGAATGCACAGGAAATAAACAAATTAACTACCAAACATGCACTCACAAACTAATGAAGACTCATCCAGGATAAGGTGCTCTGGCATTTGGTCTTGTTCTTCCCCATCCTCCCCCTGGGCCCTGGGCCTCTCACCTGCAGGATAAGCAACATCTGGATAATGGAGGAAGGCAGCTTAGACTGTGACAGCAGCAGCAAGTCACCCGGCTTAACCTTTAGTAGGACCAAGTCGCGAAAGCCCAGCAGGGAGATCTGGCGGATGGTCAGCTCCTGTCCCTGGGGAGCAGAGAAGGTGAGAGGTGAGAGCTTGCGGGAGCTGCCACCAGCCAGGCGGCGTTCTGGACAACGCGTGTTTGCAGAGCACCCAGGATGAGCCAGGTGCAGGCATCCCCAAGGCCCTGTGGGGGCTGTCAGAGCTGAAGACCCAGCTCCAATCTTCCAGAATTAGAGCTTTTTTTAAGGTAAGATGTGACTCAACCTATTGATAAATAACCCAAGGAGAATGCAAGATATATATCATTGGGAATATGCTGTCCGGTGCTATGAGTGGTTAGGAAGGAGGGAAAGGGAAGAAGATGAGGGACAAACAAAAGGAAAGATCGGTGCCGCTTCCTTGTACTAAGGCTGCTCCCTCGACTTCAGATCCTAGGTATTTAGGGACCCATCATATGCCAGGCAAAAGGAAATACGAAACCTCAGATTGTTTACATAAAATTAGATCCTCAGATAAATACAAGTAACTTAGGAAGGCAATAATTGGGAAAGTCAAAGGAAAGGGACTTCTCAGCTGTGGGGGTGGGGGACAGAGGATGAAACCAACATAGTCACAAGAGCTGGCAGTCATTAAGCTCTATGTGCTAGGTAGGATTCTAACTGTTCAGATATAAATATTTAATCCTCATGACCACTGCTATGTTCTGAATATTTGGGTCAGATTCCTATGTTAAAATCTGAACCCCCACCCCCCATCCCCCACAGGTGATAGTATTTGTAGTTAAAGCCTATGCGGGGTGACTAGGTCATAAGGAGGAGGACCCTAGGAATGGGGTTAGTGTCTTTATAAAAGAGGCCCCAGAGAGACCCATCACCCTTTCCCCGCATGAGGACACAGCAAGAAAAAAAGAAACGGGCCCTCACCAGACACTGAACCTGCATGCACCTTAATCTTGCACTTAACAGCCTCCAGAACCAAGAGAAATAAATTTCTGTTCTTTATAAGCCACTTCCTCTGGGGGATTCTGTTATTAGCAGCCTGAACAGAGCAACACAACCATCCTCTGAGAGAGGCACTGTTATAAAATCCATTCCACAGATGAACACTTGTAAATACTAGGGAAGGACAGTAATTTACCTAAAATGGAACTGGGCTTCAAACCCAAACTGTAGGATCTTAGATTCCTGAAGGGTTCCAAGACAGAAAGAAGATAGATCATTTCCCAAGCTCTCCTTCACACATACATGTGTGTGTGCATGTGTGTGTGTGTGTGTGTGTGTGTGTGTGTGTGCACAGAGTGCATAAGCATGCACACACCTACACACAGTGAACACACCCACAATTGGTCACTCCTGGTAGAGCCAAAGTTGTCCTTGTGGTCCCCTCACCCCAAACAGAACATAGCTTCCTGCCCCCCAAGTCTGCAAAGGTTAAGGCAGTTTTACACTTGTCATAACCCCCTAGGGTTTTATAGGGATACTTACTATATCTGCAGCTCCCCCCCCAAAAAAAACCCAACACCGTACAGACTGAATGGGCTCAGTTTAACCACTCTTCACCCCCACTGCCTTTCTGATCACCCCCAAAGGCAATTTCCCCCCTTCCCAAGCCCTTCCAGTTTCTGTTCCCCAAACCGTATCCCAGTATACTCGGAGCTGTTTGGGTGAGCAGTGTCATCCTTTTGTAAACATCAGAATATATTTGCATAGATGAAGGTGGCTAGGATGTCACTGGTGATACCATCATATGGGGCCATGTGGTATATGCAGTCCATCACTGTGTAAATGCTGCTATGTGCTGAGACGCTGCAAGACAAGCTGCTGGTTCTCTTTCTCGGAGCAACCCTGACTAACAGCCTGGACCAGCACCACGACCACCACCATCACCATCACCATCACCATCACCATCACCATCACCACCATCACTATCAGCACCATCACTATCAGCACCAGCACCACCACCACCAGCACCACCACCACCATCACCACCATCACCTAGGGAACCATTAGAAATACCGAATCCTCAGGCTCCACTGCAAATATTCTGTGGCAGAAAACTCTGAGGAGGTAGTCTGGGAATCCAGGTTTTGACAAGCCTGGTGTACTGCCTGACTCTAGTAAGTCATGTGCCAAAGGTCTAAAGATGAAATCATTTTGGGCTTTGGACAGAAATGCTTTGGTCCTAAAAACATTGCCCTGGGATCTAGGAAGGACAAGAACCCACTTGTCCAGCCACTTCCAGGGAGACTGGATGTGATTACAAAACAATGCTGCATGGTCCCGCTGTGTGGAGACTGGCTGGCATCACCCAGGCAGCACTGCTGAACAGTCTGTTCCCCAGGAGGGCAGAGAGCCTGGCATGCAGTACATGTGCTATAAATGCTGTTTCTACTCACCAGCATTTGCTTCCTCCTAGGGTACTTTTTACTATAACTTTGTCATTTCCTGCCTGTCGCAGAAGTTAGGATGTTCACACATACCTGGTATCGCCCACTGCACTGTAACTTCATGGGGTACCCATAACCAGGCTTTATAATTTCATATCTATTTCCTATCTTTATAGCTTTTTTATATACCATTAAACTAATTACAAATTGTGTTGGGTACTTTGGATAAGTTATCTTAATTAGGAGGCACTTTCACTTGGGGTGGGGTAGGGCAGGGTATCATTATGTAGCCCGGGCTGGTCTCAGACCCTTGATCTCTTAACACTTCTGCCTCAGCCTCCTGAGTGCTGGCATTACTGCCACATACCAGCACACCTGACTCTTCCCTTGGCTTTATTCTTTCAGTATCTGAAAAGTTGGGCAAGTGGGATTATGTCTGATAGACTGATGGGTGGGGATGTGAAAGAACCCATACTGGACCTCATTATTCTGTTCAGTCCCAGGGTTCTTGGGTCCTGCATGATGCTGGGTGCTGATAGGACTGGTCTAGCTTTTATTCACAACCCTTTTGTGAGGTGAATGATGGAACTGTTTGATCTGAACCATGGAATACAGAGAAAGAGAAGGGAGGCTGGGATGCGCAGACTTCTAAACAGCGATCCGGTGCAAAGAGGAGACAGCAAGGAAAAATAACAAATTCTAGGAACTGCAGGTCAACAACTACCAGTCACTCCACAGGACCATTTTACCCAGAATCCCCTATAGGCATCCAGAAGCCAGTTAGAACCTGCAACTCAGCAGTCCAGATAATAATTTTCATTTCTTTGCCTTGTTCTTTTTTAATGCATTTCATTTTTAAAATCATAAGGTAACAGATATTTATAGGCAAAGATTTAAATGGCTAAGAAAAGCAGTTAAAATAAACAGTAAAATGCTTTTCTAGTCTCATTCTCACTCCATATAGTCAATCACTCTTAAAAGGTTATTTTTCATCCTCTGGACTTTTCTAGAAATTTTCTACATCTATAAAATTATACATATGACCTTTAAATACACATAGAGATTATGGCTTTCTTATTGTCACACAATTTGCTTTGCTTAACTTAGCATATTTTGCATATCTGTCCATCAGCTCATGTTGCTGCTTCTCAGTACCCCTTTTTAAAGGCTGAATAGTATTTCACTGAATCAACATATTCGTTAGTAGCCATCTCCTCATTCAAGATGTCTTTTGGGGGTGGCCACAGTGAGGCTATAATGAATACATGCATCCACGTTTCATGAGCACCTTTTTCAGCATATCAGTTTTACCATACCTTCAGAGCAAAATTGCATGATCAAAATCTGCCTTTAAAATGTCTTATACACACTGACATGATACCATTTGAAAAGCATGCACTGATTTCTACACCCAATAAAAGAGTATAAAACAGGCTCTGGAGATTTCCAATGGAGAGGATGATTTTTTAAGTAGGATGATTATGGTGGTCACTCCAGAGAAACCCATCCCAAACCCATCAGCTTAGCCATGACATGGGCAAAATAAATCCAGATAACTGGTCACCATCAGCTAAGGTTCCAACACCTTTTGACCGTGCAAAGAATAATTATGATAATGTTGATATTGGTAATATTGATAATTTTAGGCCCTACACTAAGTTAAGTGCTTTTAATGTATTATTACACTCTTGCTTTTCCTGTGCAAGGAAAAGAAAAACCAGGGTCTTCACACCAGGACCACCCCCACCCATGCAGCAGGTCTTATGATTTCATGGAAGGAAACAGAGGCTCAGAAAGGCGAGGTTATTTTCCTGAGATTGTCAAGACGGTAAGTGGCAGGCTGAAGACTTGAACCCAGGCCAACCAAGGGCAGGTCAGTCTTTGAACTGCTCTCTTCTTCTTTGGTGCTGCCTCCTATCCCTGTTTCTCCCCAGATCACCTCTCCCATGAAGCAGCTGCTGTCTTCTGGACACAGGCTAGGCATGAGTGGTTAAGGTACCTACCTGGAACAGGTAGAAATTTCTAGAATTTCTAGAAAAGTCCAGAGGATGAAAAATAACCTTTTAAGAGCAATTGCCTATATGGAGTGAAGGGTTTTTGCCACTGGGCCTTCCAAGCCCAAGGTTAAATTTTACACACTCAGGACAAAGGTCTGGATGTATAAGTGACCAGAGGGGCACAATGCATCCACCCTTGGTTCTTCGTATGTTGAACAGTAAGGGAATGGGGTCCAGTTCAACAGTGTTGAACCATCATTTACATTGGAACTGGCTCCAATTCCCTGTGTCACTAATCTCACCAAAAACATGGGGCTTTATTTTGAAAGCTTGTTGGTCCCCAGAGCCACAAAGGCCCGCTCTGTATGCAAAATCTACCTCTGATGCTAGCAGAAAGTGCATTTATGGGAGATTGTGGAGTGCCAAGCTAGACCAACCTGCCACACAAACAAGATAATCATTGCTTAATTAGAGGACCATTTGGGACCATTAACCAGCGTATGGACTTGTTATGAAGCCCCTGCCATCTTTTCAGTTCACAGTAAATCAGAGCGGGAATTCATACTAATCCAGAACTGGGTTTTCTATTCTTGTTTTACACAAAGAATAACCAAGACATACATAGCATCTCATAACCTCTGTCTGAGAGACAGAGAGAGAGAGAGAGAGACAGAGAGAGAGAGAGAGAGAGGAAGGGAGAGCGCAAGCATGTCCACTTGGTCCAAGGTGCCATCCAGTGACTCTGAGTAACCCCAAAGAAAGAGTGCAAGTTGAGAGAATTCTGTCTCATAAACTCATGAATATATGAATCTGGGTCAGCTGAGAACACAAAGGTAGGGGGAGGCACAGTTTGCCACTTCTGCATATACATTTGCCACAGATCTTCCCCACCTCTTCTAAATTTGGGCTACACACAAATTGAGTTTATATCACCCTCACCCAGTGTCAGCTAACTGAACAAACCAGGCTGGCACAGGTAAATGCCCTCAAGAGTGGACAAGGAAAGAAAGTGATCAGCCAAGTAGCAGTTATGGCAAAATAGAGTGCAGGAGAAATTCAAGTCAGTGGTTGAGGGCTGGGAAGATTAAATAGGGCAATGTCAATTATTGTCAGATCTTATGAAATTTCAAGAGAATCAGGACAACACCATCCTTAGACTCTTCAGAGGGACCTTCTTTGCCCTTTCTTGACTGTACTGGGGCCATTTCCACTCAGATGCCACACTCCCCATTCTAGAAACATCCTGAGCACCTTGGAACTCACTGCCCAAATGGCCCTAAGAAACCCAAATCTGCCCATCCCCTCCTAGATGGCTGCCAGATAAAACAGGATGTCCAGTTAAATTTGCATCATTTTTTCAATACAAAAAGCTCCCAAGCTTTGCAATATTTGTGATTTATGTCAGATTCAGATACAACTTGCCATCCAGTATTCTTATTTGCTAAATTGGGCAACCCTGACTCCACCCCTCTGTCTGTCTTCTTAAGAAAAGACCTCCTGCTGGTCATTAGGTGCCTACTGCGTAAAAGGAGGGCAGTCTGTGGGCACAGAGGCTGTACTATCCACATAAATGCAGGCTGGGACTAAGAATGTGATGAAAGAAAGGAACAGGCTGTGGGCCAGGGGCTTCTATCTGTTTTGTCTTACTGGAAATGGCAGGGCCAGACTTAAAACAGGAAATGAAATCTGTAAGCACAGCCTCCCAGGTTTGAAATATTGGATATATATTTTAAGCAATTTCAAATTCCTTTAAAACACCATTCAAACCAAACAGTCCCCTGGGCTCTTCCCCCACGGTATGAGGAAATTCCAACCATTGCTAACAGCTCTGTTCCTATTCTGCATATTATACCCACACTTCAACAAAGTCCAATTACATCTGAAGCCTCCACCCCAGGAGGAGGAGTAGAACATGAGAGAGATGTGCATTTCGGAGAGGAATCTCCAAGGGCCGCCTTCCTTGCAGGGTGGCCATTCTGACCTGGCAGCAATCAGCTGTGGTATTAGGGGGAAGGAAATCAATATAAGCATAGAAAGAGTCAAGGTCACAGTACAAGAATTAAACACAGTCACTCCTCTTTTACTCTAGGTCCTCATTTTGCAGGAGGCGAGTGGAGCTATACAAGTACAAGTTAAATGACTTGTCTAAACCCACACTCTTGAATGGAGTCTATGGATTCCCACATGGCACTTTACATTATGAGGCTCTTGGTCTTTAAGATTCCTTATGATGGACAGGGAAGGGAGCATTATCCTTTTCCCACAATTGGGAGGACAACAGCTTGAAAGTTGCGCTTTAAAAAAAAAAAATGAGAGAGAACGAAAGAGGTGGGAGGAACAGAAAAGAAAAGAAAAGAAAAAAAAAAGGAAAAATCTCCTTCTCTATCTTCTCTACTTTAGAAAAGAAAGAAAACACTCCAAGAATCTAAAAACATGCTCAAAACCAAGAGGGTAACAAGAGCCTACAAATTGCTAGTTAAGCAGGCTCCCTTCTTTGCTTGAAGTTAAACACTAAATATAGAACCGTAGAGGCCTCAGAAGACCTCCACAGTCCTTTGCTGGCTCAAATGCCCACTCCAGGCTCTCCCCCATCCACCAGGAGGCCCTGGCTCACAAAGGTCAAGAGAGGAGGCAGATGGCTGAGGACAGCAGTAGGATGCTCCCCAGCAAGACTGACCTGAACTGGATAAAATATTGCCTGCAGGGTGGGGAGAGTCTCAGTGAAGAAGTGGTCCCAGACTTCAGCCAGAACCTCAATGCGATTTTCACCTACACGAGGGCGAGAAGACGGGAGGGGAGAAAGAAAGAAAAGAACTTGTCATTACTCACAGGAGAGGCCAGGAGATAGCTCCATCTCAAATGTGAAGTCTCGGAGCTCTAAAATTTGTGGCCAGGAGCTTTGTCCCTGGTGTTACAGGGTCTTTATCCCCAGCTAAGGCCACCATAACTTGTCAGGACAGAAATATAGCAGTCTCACTAGGAATCACAAAGTAGATGGTGTCACAATGGTAAGTGGTGAGGAAGACCGGAAGTGGCGCATGGCAAGACCGGAAGTGGCAGAGCAATTCGGGAGTCAGGCTTGTGTAACCCCCTAAGAACTAACTCCACAGCATCAGCATTCATCCCTTCCAAGGGCGATGGCCTGCACGACCTAACCATCTTAAACTAGGCCCTACCTATTAAGGTGTCCCGTTCTGTGCACCTCAGCTGGGAAGATCATGTGCAGTTCCAGTTCTGTTTTTATAGCCAGTGATACACTGGCCTTATTGTAGGTTTGAGTTGTCAGCTGACAGAAAGAAGACGTTGAAACTGTCACCACTACTCACTGATGTACACAGTAAGTGAGAGGGCAGCATTCTCTGAAGAGGTCACCTGCAAACACTGGATTCACCTCTTGATTCTGTGCCTACTCGCCCCTAGGACCTGGAAGCCCGGGCTACAAACAAGTTCCACCCTCAGGCTAGAGCACACAGGTCACCCAACGCCACCAAAAGGGCTGTGAGAGGAACTATGCCCTCGGTGGCAGCTGCTTAATGACCTAGATATCAGAGCTGACTGGGCACTGTCTTTGCTCAATCCAGGCAGAGAAACTGGGTCAGCCAAGATGAGACACAGAGACAGAGGTGCTTGGCAAACACTACGAGTTCCACTGAATGAATCTTGAAAGATTCATTTAGCATCTCCCATCATTTAATTTAATGGACAATAACGGCACTGGCTAGGGAGAGAACAGACCAAGAACGTGACTACTGGCTCACAGATCAGGGGAGAATTGCAAACCCACAGGCCCCCACTTTCTCTGGCAGAACATTAACCACACTTGATGGAACTGCTTGTCTATGCCCCATCCCCTCCAGGAATGTGGCCGTGACACATGGGCCTGTGTGAGCTGCTCACCCCTGTATCTCTGTTGCTCAGCACCATGCAAGACAAGTCAATAGATCAATTTTAAAGCCTTCAAATGAATAAACAGCAAATACCAAGTGCTATATGTGGATTTTGCAGATGTGAAGGCCTGTGATGGGAAGGAAGTGCTACTTAATCCAAAGACAAGGATGTATAAAGCAGGTCTTAATAATCATCAGGAACACTTGCCTTTCCCTTTGGGTGAAGAAACTTCCATAGTGTGGCCTACACAGCCAAGAGAATCTGTCTCCTTCTGTGTCCTCACTCTCTGCTCTATTCAGCCTCTGGGCTCTAGGAAGATTTCATCTCAGCCCTTCACTCCACAAAAACCCATGCCACAGGGCCTTTGCACAGGCTAGTCTCTCTCCCCAGACTTCTCACCCACCTCTCTCTGTGTGACCTACTTCTGTTTACCTTCCTTGTTACAGCTCACATTTCACCTCTACGTGAAAAATCTTCCCACACTGGTCAGGTCTTCTACCATGGATTATGTTCCTAATGTTTGCCTAGTCATAGAAACATATGGTGGTACTTTGATTAAAATTACCATCTTAGGAGCTCTACCAGGGCCTATTCCTCTGATAGTTTTGTTTACCACTATATCTCCAGCACCCAGCTGAGCACCAGGTATCTCCGAAGTAACTGATACATGGTTGATTGAATCAAAGTCAACATGCTTTCCAATGCAGGCAATGCATAGTCACTGCAGGGAGGAGACAGGGGAGTCAAAGGGACCATCTGAAATGTTCAACCCCCCCAGGTCCTAAATCAAGGTGAACCGCAACACAAAGGTAATGTAACCCAAAGGAGAAGGGGCTATATTAGCTACTTTGTGGGTGGCCCCCATCTTAAACCTTAAGCCTTTCACAATAAAGACAAGCAGAGGCATCCAAGCCTGAGGCAGGGCAGCAGAGAGAAGGTGCTGGTCAGGGAGGTGCCTACTGCAGAACCAGGATGGAGGTCCCCTGGAATGCAAGGGAATTCTCCCACCTGGCAGCAGGAAGTACCTCCCAAGAAGCTGGATCAGTCTGCTGGCGGCAAACTTCAGACAGTCATGGAGGTCTGGAAAGTGTCTCTAAAAGAGCATCAGATCAACACACACCAACAAAGCAGGGTCACCCTGGGGAAGAAAGCGTTAAAGGACACAGGTGACTTCGCTTTGTGAGTCAGGGACTTAGCTCCCTGAAAATATGAAGGTGGTCTGTATGGGAGGTCCTACATGTCTGTCTTATCAAACCTGTCCTCCAATGTCTTATGGGAGTTTAGACCCCAGAAGTACATACATAGGTAGAAGAAACTCTCTGACTGCCAAGGTCAGCAAGGCTCTAGAAAAGATTACCGAAAGTCACATGACGCCTCCTGCTCACAAGATGTGACAAATGGACGTGAACTTTGCCGCCTGCCCTTTCTGCAGCCATGATGCAAGAATGTACGTATACCACAATGACGCTCAGACATAAGCAAATATGTCAACCAAGTGAAGTCTGCTTGGTAACTGGATAGATCATGTTGGCTGTTTTCAAGCTTTACCTTCTAGTAAGCGAATCCTTTTATCCAAACAAAATCCTTCTTAGTGTTCTAACACATAAAACCAAAAAGTCGAGATAATCCTGGGGAAGATGGGAAAGTCCCCACACACCCATTTACAGTGCAGAAAGCCCCCAAATACCCAGAACCCTGGGACCACAAGAGACCGTAGGAAAGTTCCCTGGCTCTAGGGACAGGTGCAGAATCTTGGATCCTCCTTGTTCACCACATCTAGCTCCATTTCTTGAGTGTTTACTCTGAGGGTGTCGATGTTGAATGAGACATTCAACTTTCCCCTTAAAAGGAAAGTTTAGTCAGTACCTTTACTTTAGTTTGCTCAGTACCTTTTCTTCCAGAGCTGGTTTTCCACATTTCCAGTGGCTTCATTGACACACAAGTAATGTCACCAGGGACAACGCATTTTGTCCCCTCTGCCCCTTTGACTGGACAGCTGTCTTCCATATCTCTGTATCAGCCTGATTGCAAGATGTAAAAGGACCATTAAGTTCCCCAGCCAAAGCCAGGCACTTTAAAATAAGGTCCTTCCATTGACCGATGAATAGATATGGAAAAATGTTGCACACCCATGTTCTGGAATATTATTCAGCCTTAAATTTAGAAGGGAATCTCGTCCTATGTTACAACATGGATGAACTTGCAGGACATTACGTAGAATAAAATAAGCCAATCATAAAAGGACAAATGCATGATTCCACATTGATGAGATATCTGGGGAAATACAAACTGTGGGAACCAACATGTTGGTGGTGGTTGTCAGGGACTGTGGAGGGGGGGCATTTGGTGGGGAGCTGCTCAGTGGGTTGGGAGTTTTAGTCTCACAAAACAAGTCCTGGGGTTCTGTTATGTAGCACTGCAAATACATCAACCCTTCTGAACTGGGAAATGGCTGAGAGGGTACATTTTATATCATGTTTTCTAACCTCGATCTCTAAAAAATTTTCAAAGGCCTTGGTTTAGGGGGTGTTATATAGTTGGGGGGAAAAAGTCACAGGAGACCTGCATTTAGGGAGAAAAAATAATATAGGTTCACAAAATTTCAGATGAGCAGAAATTAATTTCAGCCTCTATCCTTCCAAAGGTTTTGGAGATGGGGCACCCACCGTACACCATCCACTGGAACTCTCCAGTGGTTTTTCATTTTCCTTCTGACTTCATCCTTCTACGAGCCACTTTTTTGGACACTAGTCACTTTCCCAGAAATAGAAAGAAAAAAAAGAAATGATAGTAGAACTACTAAGTATGGTTCCAGAAGTAAGTCCGACCTCCAGATAGAGGTCATTAGATTAAGCAAAGGAAAAAGAGGCCACCGCACGCTTCCCTCTTGTGTGCCAGGAGCAATGTCATGCCAGCTATGTGCTTTGTGCTTCCTACAAGCCCTCACCCCACTTTATCACCTTAAAAGTGACAAAGACCGAGACCTACAGAAATAGGCAATTCCCAAAAGTCACCCAAGAAGTAAGCGCTGAGCTAAGCCTGGGCTCCACACTGGTGAGAGCTGAGCATAGGGTCATAGGGTCATAGGGTCATAGGGTCAGTCATAGGGTCAGTCAATTGCTACTTTTCATACCATCTCCCAAATCATCAATTCCTTTCTGTCCTGTCAATTGGCTTCTGAAAACCTTAACATAGACCAGGAAGTATTCCTTTACCGATCAAATCATTCCCCACTGAGTGGGTGCCTGCTTATGCTAATGCCTCCCAAGTGGAAAGGACTCCTGCTTACTACAATCCGATACATATGACATGACAAAGGCCAACAAGAAGTAGCCTGAGGCAGATCAGTGGGAACTGTGTGGCAGGATCCATGTCCCATCAAAGACCAGCAGGATGGGAACATCTTTTAACAAGGTCTCCGGAGCAGCTACCCCGACCCCACTTTGTTTTTCAAACCACAGTTCAGAATGGCACTGCTGGGAAGCAGCTGACTCAAACCGGAGTGCTGCCACCTCGCTGAGGAAGCAATGGACAGGGTGATTCACTCGCTTGGAGCCCGCCACTTTTGGACAGAAGCATCTCAGCTGTCCAAACATCAAAGGCTGACTCACAGAGGCCCGTGTCGTACTTGCCTTCGCACAGCTTGATCTTCTCCTCCACAAAGAACAGTCCTTTTGCAAGAAGCTGGTTCTGCCAAGAGAGAACAAAGAACACACGAGTTGGGGCCTCCAGAGTGTGACAACCCTGCTCCACTCACAACGGGTAAGGGCAGAGTTCAAGGCGCTCCTAGGCTAGTTATGCTTCAAGTCTCAGAAGATTTTTGCCTGACCTTTGGGAGGTCAAGGCCTTGGCAGAAGATGGTGAGACATCCCATGGCCGAAGAGCAAAGGACCCATGATCAAACGCAGCCGCCACCCAACCCTCCATCCAGGGACCAGACAGGATGCAGCACAGCTGAAGTCACCACTGTTGACACCCCGAGTCCTTAAACTCTGGATGCTCGGCACTCCACAAGCGAGCCTTGGGGCAATGGGAAATTATGCATGAGTTAATTTTTTAAAAAATAAATGCAGGGTTTCTCACACTAGCATGAAAGAGACTGTGGGCAAAATCTTAAGCAGCAGTGTATGTGCCTCAGTGAGCGTGCATGCATGTGTGTGTGTGTGTGTGTGTGTGTGTGAGAGAGAGAGAGAGAGAGAGAGAGAGAGAGAGAGAGCTGTGGAGAGAGTAATGTTGAGCCCCTGAGAACTACAGCTAGCAGGTGACTGTCCTGCATGTCATTGGCTTTGTGTCCTTCCTCTCATCTCATTTGGTTCTGTCAAGTGGGTATTATTACGCTAGGGAAAAGACATGCCCACAGGAAACAGAGCTGATCTTCTTGGTTCCAGAAACTTCCACTCTGCTCTGCTGCCTCCCTGTAAGTCCCCCCTCCTGCACGTCTTTTCCTCAAAGAGCTACACCTGCACCCCAGCCATGAAGCAGCCCCTCTGTGAGTGACAGAAGCTCAAAGTTCAGTGATGCCTGTCCACCCACGGCTCATTACCCAAGCCCTGTGCTTGTGGGGGACGTGGGGGCAATGGCTATATGCACAAAACACCAATACATTCCTTAACAATAGCGTTTACAAAACCTTAAAGCCCTATTCTGATGACAATGAAAGCATGCACAGCAGACCAGAAAGAACTTGAGACCAGACATGCTCAAGTAACTTCTTGGCCGCTTTGTTTTTCTTACTTTTCTTCCCCCCACTTAATATGCTTTCATTCTATTTCCTTTTTAATTGATTTTAAAGTATATATTTTTAATTGACATGTCACCATTGTCCAAATGTATGGAGCACTGTTGACATTTCAATACGTGTATACAATGTGTAACGATCAGATCAGGGTATCGGCGAATCTGTCATCTCTGATGCTTATCATTTCTTTGTGCTGGGAACATTCAGAATCCTCTCAACTAGCTATTGTGTAATATACAATTAGCTGTTGTTACCGTTGATCAATGGTGCTACAGAACATCAGAAGCTGTTCCTCCTATTCAACTGCACCCCTATGCTTGGCTGCTTTCTATCCGGATGATTTCCTTGAGTTTTGAGTTCCTCATCCGTAAAATGGCATGTTAGAAAATCCTTCAGCAGTGTCATCAAGTTTTTGCAAAAACTAATCATTATCAATACATACATGGTATCGTATGTCCTTAGTCATTAATGGCGGTAGTGGTCATGGTAACCGTTGCTGTTCTCAGGCCAGCCTCTTCACAGAAGGAGTGGAAGGTAAGGAAAAGTCAGCAATGAATAAGTCTGTATCAAAGGTACTAATAAGATACTTAGCCAAGCTGGGTGTGGGGCCACATGCCTATAATCAGAGCACTCATGAGAGTCTGGGATCTACGGGGTACAATCCAGAGCTTGCTACCAGGTGGGGGTCTCTCTGCTCTGTAGGGGGCAGTGGTAAGCCTGTGAAAGGGGGAGACAGACTTCCTCAGCCCAGCCAACACATTTTCAGTTAGACCTGAGCTGCATAAACTCCGAGGCCCACCCTGACTGCTGGTCATTAAACCTAAGGAGATGCTAATTAAACAGCTACAGGGCTTCACATCTGCTTGAAGGTCTTGAGAGATGAAAGGAGAGCAGGGGAAGAGGGCAAAGTAGCCTCAACTCACGCAGCTGTCTTTCTAAGCATCTGTTCTTCCTGGACCTCTCCTCACGTCATCCCATCCCCTGACAAATGCCTGACTCCCACAGTTTCTAAGTGCAGTTAATGTTTGCTGAGGAGCAGTGGTGAGGGAGGCCAGTGGTAATGGAGCTGGAGCAGACGCCACCCTTCTCTCGTCCACCGCTTGCCTTGGAGGCACCAACTCCTCCACCTCCCCAGCCTGAAGGCTTCAAGCCAAGAAACAGCTTGTGAAATAGTAGCCACCTAGGAAATGACTTAGGGCCTGGAACCGGGTACTGTGTTCACCCCCACCCACAAGTGAACTTCGCTATGGCCTCAGTAGTGCTTTAATGAAGTGCTGCAGGGGTCCGGAAATTAAAGTACGGCTGTCACTTTCTAAATCAGATAAAAAATGGGCTGCAAACGGAGAAACAAGGGTCAGTTAGGAAAAACGCAAGTGAGGATGTTTGGGAAAAGGCGTCCAAAACCATTCAGTCTTTAGTGGGGAGAAAAGACCCAGGTTGTCCCGGGTAACACGGAGGGTGGGTTGGAGGGGGCAGAGGAGGGGGCATGAGGCCTGTAAGCTATGTATGCCACCTCCCCAACTTGGTGAGAGGGACCCAGAAAAACAGGATAACTAAGAAAGTGAAGGAGAGAGGAGAATCACACCAGCCCCACTTTCTCTGCAGGAAGAACTTTCCATGCAGAGCCGGAACTCTGCAAATGCTTAGGCAGCTCCTAAAGCTTTAGCACCGATGAGGAGGCTAGGGATGGGATGTCAGTGGAATTAGTCACTGGTTTTTCCTCTGTGGGGTGCTGTATTATACTCTTCTCATCTATTATCTCATTTTACCTTTGCCACAACTCTATCCCCTTAATGGAGTGACTGAAGCTCAGAGAAGCAATTGTAAAAGTGAGACCAGATCTGGGCCCTGGTTAGTCTCAACCCAAAGCCCATCTTTTCCCCATTGTAATGTATTCCTCTGGCTTACTTCACAATAAAATATCCTAAGATACAGCTAGCTGTTGTTTGCTGACTGCTAACTATATACTAAGTACTTTGTATATGTCATTGCAGTAACCACATCAAACTTATGAAGTAAGCACCACTATTACAGCTAGATTACTGCTACGAAACTGAGGCTCAGACAGGTTGAATAACGAGCCTGAGGTCACACAGCTAAAAAGGGCTCTAGCAAGGATTGGAATCCAGCCCTACCTAGCAGAAGAGCTGGTGCTTGCTTTCAGGATCATGCTACCCTGCCCTGGAGAGGTTTCTTGTGTCCTTGCCCACAGGAGAAATAGGTGGGCTCCACTTTCGGTTCAGATGCTAATGTTCAGCAATCTCAGGTCATGTAATTAGATCCAACCACAAGGTTTCCATTCACTGCGTTATTTCTGCTGTCCAGTCCTGCTACCAGCTTCTCAATGTTCATCTCTCCGAAAACACTTTTTCGGGTCCTTCTTCTCCACTTCCCTCATTCAGTGTCCAAGCAGCAGAACACCTAGCTCCCAGGGTCATCCGATTCCCAAAGGAGACGCTCTTTCCTACCCAGGAGGGGTTGAGAGCAGTGCTATTCTGCCTACTGAGAACTCAGGTTGCCAATTCCTCCCTGGCAGTGTGTTTCCGGGTATGTCGCTGTCTTCAAAAGTTCCTGTTATTGGTAGAAACGCAGTGATGGAAACCATGGGCATCTCCATTTTCTCCCTCTGTGATTTTGAAAGGCAACCGTCATCTCTAATGATGTCTGCACTTCCTGTGGACCTGGATGGCTTCCTAGACAAGCAATAAAAAGCCTCACAAACACTGCTCACCCCCAGGGCCCAGAGAGTTCCTAGTAAACCAGTCCCGGTGCGGGTGGCTATGATGAGACCACAGAGAAATCCCCGGAGACTTCAAACATCAGAAACTTAGTATTTATATCAAGTTAATTCTCTACTTAGCACCATTTCAGTGATAGTGATAAATATGACTTGGTGAACGTAAAACAAAACAAAATTATCTTATAAGTAAGCAAAAAAAAAACCAAAAAACCAACCAAACAAACAAACAAACAAAAAAAACAGCCCACATCTGATTTGCTAGATACTCAAAAATAACTCCTAAAAACTCCTGGGTCCTTTTTTCAAGAGATGCCCTCAGGGCATTTTAACTTTTATAGCAGAATCCAAGAGACTTTTCTCCAATGGCCAGATGACCCAGGTTAATCTTTGATCTACCTTTTACCTTGATCTTAGACAAAGAACTCCCTCCTCTGACCCCCCAGTTGTAGCATCTGTAAGATAAAATAACAGAAGCACCCTCATGGTGGTCAAGAAGAATACATGAGTTCAGACAGAAAAGAACATTTAGAGTGTTCCCAGACTTACACATCATTAAATCCTGCATTTCTGGGTCCCAACCCCCAACTTCCTTGATTCTAATCATCTGATGTGGGCCCTGAGAATGTGCCTAACACATTCCCACATGATGCTGAAGCTGCTGGTTCAAGGACCACACTTAGAACCACTGGCTCAGACCAATGCCTGGCACGTAAGTACCGGAAAATGTTCGTGGTTACTGCTCCTCTTGTTATTGTCCTCTGTATGACTTTTAAAGAGCCTCAGAGGAAGCTTCTCTGTTGCTTTGCATGTTGAACACAAATACCCAGAACAGTCTTTACGTCTCCCACTTAACTGAAAAGCACACTTCCTTGATTTACCTCAGCCTTCTCCGGCCCCCACTGAGTGCCCGAACCTGGCTCTTGCCATTCCTTGCCTGGTCTACCAAAAATCACCCAATTTCATACATAGCTCTGCTGAGAGTACACACTCATGTGGCACCACACACTTGCACGATATAGGAGGAATTCTGTTCCCACAGAGCTACAAAGGGTTATAAAACCCCTGAGTACACCTCATCCTCAGAGCTCATCTATTTTCAGCCTTTTTGTACCTATATGTTCCTGTCTTTCACCATTGAATGTGCAATAACCTAAGTCCAATGAGGCTCCAGGCTTGCCATTTCAGCACGCCTACTGATTTTCATCTTTATCT